TTCTTTCGCCCTAATAATACTTCAAATCTCCTTCGGATTTCAACCCTTACCACTAGTAGTCGCCCATACAATCTTCGCAATTCTTCCTTGATTATACATCCTCTAGCTTCCTCCACCTCTTACGCTCTCTTTTTTCGCTTCCAGGTGTACTTTCCTCTACAATAAGCTTCCAGTAAATACAGGATCTTCAGACACTCTGCATACGTTTGAGAGAAGGTTGCGCCTTTATAATAATAACAGAATTTAATGCCAGTTTGCATGCATTGTCAAGGAAGCGTTAGACACAAATCCGTCCAACAGTGAAAAAAAACACCTGTCACAAAGGAATAAAAATAGAGTTGATGGTGGTTTTTATAGTTTGGAGGGTTCAGGAGAAAAAAACTACTGCCCACAAAATGATGGGAATCAAGAATGGGAGGGGTCAGGCTGTATCGGATATCATCAGTCACCAGTTCCTTTCATGAAGTTGGGGTTGGTCCGAACAGAAGCACCGAAGGACCAATGAGCCTTAATTCAGTTTACTGCAAAAATATGGAAAAATATTTAAACGAGAAATAATGCGCCTTCTAGAACTGCATAATCTGCTATGCGATGCCCAGCACGGATTTCGTAGAGGCAGATTATGCGTGACAGGCCTACTTTATTGTTTAGAACGCTGCACCCAGGCAGTTGATGGCGGCAATGCAGTGCCCGCAGTCTACGTCGACTTTAAGAAAACATTCGACAGTATACCACACCAGCGTCTCCGATACACCTTCAGTCGAACAGGCATTAGGGATAATCTCCTGAGGTGGATGCAAAGCTTCTTCGTCGGTCGATCTCAAATTGTCCACGTCGGTGACAGGCAGTTGGCGAAGGTAGCGGTTGAAGGCGGTGTTCCTCAGGGCTCCGTCCTTGGCCTTCCCTATTCATTATATACGTCAACGACTGCGTCAGTGAACCGAATCGGGATGTCGCCATGTTCGCTGATGATGTTAAACTTTGGAGCGCCATTCGAACTGAACTTGACAAAGAGCGCTTGCAGGCAGACCTGACCCAACCTGAGAAATGGTCACAGAACTGGCTTTTGCCGTTTAATAATAATAATATTTATTAAAGACCCGTCGGGGTTCCATCAAAGCAAGTAAGAATAAATTTAATTGTGGATTTTAGACGAGGTAGGCAGAATCTGTAGAAAATGAAATTCATCGTTACTGAATCAGTAGTCCGTTGAGAACAATGACTGGCGAGAGGTGAAAAAAACACCAACAAATGAATGGATTAATTTAACAGGAGAAAAAAATCCCCGATAAAAAATAGTAACAAAAAAATGCGGGCAGGACTGGCCTGCATGTCGCGGTATACAACTGATTATAATCGGACATCGTCAGGGCAGAAATAAATGACGGCCTTGATTATAATCAGACATCGTCAGGGCAGAAATAAATGTCAGTCTTAAGAGGTACGTATACGGGTCGGACAGGACTGGCCTGCATGTGGTATTGTATACGCGATTCAGAACTGACATCGTCAGGGCAGTTCAGTTCAGTTCAGTTTATTGAGGGAAATAGGCGTAAGCCTTTGAGTACCCTATTTGCAACGTAAAAAATATGTGGTTTACAGATAGATGTTCTGGGCTGAAATAGTTTGAACACGCCCATAATGGTGGGACAAAATGAGAAGGAGTTACAGGGGGTGAGCTCAACTTCTCATCGCTCTTGGTCATTTCGGAACATAAATATCAGTCAGTCAGTCAGTCAGTCAGTCAGTGTATTTGAGGGAAATAGGCTTACGCCTTTGAACTCCCTATTTGTACATAAAAAATCGATAAACAGGCAAAAATGTGAAGAAATTACAGCATTAAGTGAATGCATACATTGATTCACATATGTCACTAGTCACATGGTTAAAAAGTCACATAGTCCGCTTGTTGCTGCAGCATATATCTGTCAAGGCGACATTTAAATGTCTCCACAGATTGAGACATAACAACCGTCTCGGGCAGGTTATTCCACGGTTCCACGACACGGTTGGAGAAGAAATATTTTCTCACATTAAGTCTACCCTGTGGCACACGTAGCTTGAAGGGATGTCCCCGGAGGTGAGTTGTGGTGGCGAGTTGGAAAAAGTCATCGCACCGAAGGGCACAATCCAAGCCGCGCACGATACGGAAAGTTTGTATCATGTCTCCGCGCAACTGCCTATAACTCAGAGGATAGAGATTAAGGTTAGTTAAGCGGATCTCGTATGGCAGTGCACTTTGACCTCTTACTAATTTTGTGGCTCGCCTCTGCACCCTTTCGAGCAGATCGTAATCCTGGTGCGTCCACGGTCTCCAGGCCTGAATGGCATATTCGAGATGGGGCCTTATAAACGTGCCGAAGACTTTGGTGAAGCAGTCTTCATCGAAAACTACGAATGCCCGCTTGATGGCATATAGCATTGAAGTTGCGGCCTTGGCCGCCTTACAGCATTGTGTAGAAGGCTTTAGGCTGTCTGCAACCCAAACTCCGAGATCTTTCTGAGTTTCTGCTTCTCGGAGTGGCATTCCGTTCAGATGGTTTGCCGCGTACTAGGGGTCTGATTTCCGAGGCGCAGAATGGTGCATTTGTTCAAATTGAAGGACAAGAGCCATCTGCGGGACCACTCGTCCAACCGACAAAGATTTTCTTGGAAGTTGGTCTCATCGGCAGCATTCTGGATAACTTTCCAGATTTTTATGTCATCCGCAAACATGGCACAATCACAGTCCAACCCATCTACGCAATCATTGATGAACAAGAGAAAGAGAGTTGGTCCGAGCACCGAGCCTTGTGGGACCCCACTCTCTATGAATGTGCACCTTGATCGCTGTTGTTCTACGCAGACAATTTGGGAGCGGCCGACAAGGAAATTTTCGATCCATTTGAGAAGTTTGCCACCGATGCCCATAATTCTCAACTTGTGTAGGAGACGCTGGTGCGGAACACTGTCAAACGCCTTCCGAAAATCAATATAGGCAACATGCACGGTGTGTTTTGCGTCCAGTGCTCGTGTCCAACTTTGCATTGTGTATAGCAAGTTCGTAACACATGATCTTCCCCTACGGAAACCATATTGTGTATTGGACAAGAGGTTGTGGGTTTCCAAGTAAGCCATCAACTCCTTTTTGATTGTTTTCTCCATCACTTTGCAGCAGATTGCTGTCAGACTGACGGGTCTGTAGTTTGTCGCCTGAGCACGACTACCGCTTTTGTAAAGAGGTGTAATATGGGCCGTCTTCCAGTCCGTGGGAAGAATTCCAGCATCAAACGATTTCTGGCACAGAAAGGATAGTGGCTTGGCCAGCTGTTGGGCAAGCTCAAAGAGCAGCTTTGCTGGGATCTCGTCCGGACCGGGAGATTTACATTCCTTCAAGCTTTTCAGTTCTTCCAAAATCGCTTCTTCTCGAAACACAATATTTTCGATAGTGGGATCTCTCATGTTCTCAGAATTAGATGGGGTAAAGTCCGCTTCTCTTGTGAAAACGGATCGGAAAAATTGAGAAAAGTGCTCAGCCTTAATTGTACTGTCCGATATCTCCAAGCCGTCATCACCCCTCATAACAGGAATGGGATTCCTGTTACGTGTGCTTTTCCGCAAATAGCTGTAGAGCAATTTCGGATTTTTAACGGCTTGGTGGAGCAAATTACTCTCAAAATCCCGTCGCCTCCTGAAAATCAGGCTTTTCACCTTATTTCTTTGAATTTTGTATTCTGTAAACGCTGCATTATTGTTGTTCTCGCGAAATTTTTTTTCCATAACCTACCTTTCTTGTTGATCTCCCTTTTGAGTTCTCGTGTAAGCCACTGAGGGCGGTTGGATGTCCTAGGCTTTGATAAGGGACAGTGGTTCTTCATTAGATGCAGTAAACGATCCTAGAATAAATTCCAGTCCTCGTTAACGTTTCCGGAGAAGAGAACATCCCAGTCTATTTGTGATGCCTCAGCTCTCATTTGGCGAAAGTCCCCTTTCCATATATTTGGCCTCGTATTGTCGTTTAAACACGGTTCAGAATACAGCAAGTACTCGCATAAAAGCACTGCATGATCACATCGACCGAGCGGGGGTAGGTAGTACACCTCGTCTATACTGTCAGGATCTTTGGTAAAAACGAGGTCGAGACAACTGGCCTGTTGCGCTCCACGAGCTCTAGTTGGAAACAGGACATGTTGCGTGAGTAGAGCTTCTAGAGTTGTCTTTAGTAGATGGTAATCGAAGGTATTCATCGAGCATTTCGCATGCATATCGCTCCATTGAATGCATGGTGCATTAAAATCCCCCATGATAACAACGTCTGGTCGGCTGGCGATCTCTTTGATGCTTTTCAGTAGACAAGTATCTGGGTCGGGATCCGCCTGCGGGGGCCGGTATACAGTTAAGACTTCGAGGGACTGAGATCCCCGCGCCTTTATAGTCAGCCAAATTGCCTCTGTGTCGTTAGAAATCTTGTCGGTCCTCTCACACACTGCTAGGTTGCTCTTGACATACATGGCAACTCCTCCACCCCGGCGGCCTCTCCTGTCTCTCCTAAACAAATGGTATCCTGTTAATGCTACCTCGCAATCGCCAACGTCCTCTGACAGCCACGTTTCAGTTATTGCTATAACATCGGGAAGAGTATCGTCTACCTGTATTCTCAGTTCGTCAAGCTTGGAAAACAGACTCTGAGCATTGGTGTAAAAGAATTTTAGTTTGCAACATTCGACAGTGCTTCGTTCGGTTTGTCTCGGGTTTGCCAATATTATGTTGCTGCCGCCATCATGATGACTGGCTGGTTCCAAAACAACATCGCGTTCCTCTGTATTACTCGTCCCCTGAAAATGGCCAAGTTGCTCTCTCCCGCTGCAAGTCTCCTCTTCAACTCCGTTACCAATTCGCGGCGTTTCAGACGTTCCGCTGGAGAATAGTCCGGCTGAAAAAAACGTCCTTGTGCGAGTTTCGGAGGCTGCTTTTCCTGGACAGAAGTAAGTTAGCTTCCTCTTTACTGTTCAAAACAATTTTCAGAGGTCGTGGCCGCACAGTTTCTGATTGTTCGCTCTCCTTCTTTCCAGATTCTTCTTAAAACTTTGTATAGATGGTGACATCACAACATCTGCGGGAAGCTCATTCCACGGTTTGACCACCCGAACCGAGAAGGAGAACTTCCGCACATCCAGCCGTGCCTGCTGAGTGCGCAGTTTTAACGGGTGACCTCGGAGGTTGGTCGTGGTAGCAAATTCAAAAAAGTCCTCGAAGGCCAGACTGCAATCCAACCCCTTTACAATGCGGAAGGCTTGCAAGAGATCTCCGCGAAGTTGCCTGTAACTCAAAGGAAAGAGGTTCAGATTTACTAGGCGGGTCGCATAGGGAAAGGAGCTTTGACCCCTGACCATCTTCGTGGCTCTCCTCTGGACTCTTTCGAGGCAGTTTTGATCCACAACACCCCACGGCCTCCAAGCTTGTATGCCGTACTCTAAATGCGGCCGGACGAATGTTCCGAATGTCTTAGAGAAGGCTTCTTCGTCAAAGTCCATAAACGCACGCTTGATGGCGTACAGTACGGACATTGCGGTTTTTGCCACCCTCGAACAGTGGGCGGATGGTTTTAGGGAACTCGTCGTAAGCACACCGAGGTCCTTTTGGGCTTCGACCTCTTGTAGGGCTGCACCGCCCAGAAAGTAGCCTCTTGTGCTGGCGGATCTGTCTGTGTTGCCTAGGTGAAGTATGCTACATTTGGCAACGTTGAACCGCAGGAGCCAACGGTTTGACCACTCCTCCAACCGATTCAGGTTCATCTGCAGTCTGTCTTCATCGGCAGGACCACGAATTACACTCCATATCTTCATGTCGTCCGCAAACATTGCTACTTCACAGTCCAAATCTCTTGCGGCATCGTCCACGTAGATAAGGAACAAAATGGGTCCCAGTACTGAACCCTGGGGGACACCACTTTCGACCATAGCCGGATCTGATTTTCCCCGACCGACGCACACAACCTGCTGTCGACCCACAAGAAAGTTTTCGATCCATTTATGGAAGTTGCCACCGATCCCTATTTTTTTCAGCTTATGTAAGAGCCTTTGGTGTGGCACAGTGTCGAAAGCCTTCTGGAAGTCGATGAAGGCTATGTGGACCGCGTGCCTGTCGTCGAGAGCTTGGGTCCAGCGCTGGAGAGATTGCAGCAGGTTTGTCGTGCAGGATCTTCCTTTTCGGAACCCATGTTGGCATTTCGATAGCAGGCCGTGAACTTCCAGGAATTGCATTAGTTCACACTTTATGATCCTTTCCATAACTTTGCAGAGAATGCATGTCAAGCTTATGGGCCGGTAATTTGTCATCGCTGCCCTGTTACCTCCTTTGTGTAGCGGAGTGATATGCGCCAGCTTCCAATCGATAGGAAGTGTTCCAGTGTCAAATGACGTTTGAAAGAGCATCGACAAAGGCACAGAGAGCTCACGGGCAAGTTCCTTCAGAAGCTTGGATGGAATCTCGTCTGGTCCTGGCGACTTCGATTCGTTCAATGCCTCTAATTCTCTTCGGACAATGCCTTCTGAGAAGAGTATATCACTGACGCTTGGAGTCGGCAGTTCTTCTGTGGAGGGAGGAAGAAACCTCGCCTCGTTTGTGTAAACTGATTGGAAAAACCGTGAGAAATACGCAGCTTTATCCCTACTATCAGCGATCTCAACGCCATCAGTAGTCTTTATCAAGGGGATTTGATG